CTTTTGAAGTAGAAAAGGCTCTTAGAAGAGACAGACACACAGAGCACTCTGGAGGTTTTCCCTGGACCAAGAGAAGGAGAGGGCTTGAAGAAAAGGCAGAAATTGCTGAGGTTGTCTTGGTACAGCACAGGATATACCAGGTCCAGAGGACACACTCAGGGGCCAACCTGCATGGCACCGCTCATTCGCAAGCACGTGGAAATTTTCCTCTGGAGTCTTTTCTGCGCTATTAACTTACAGGAGGTTGGGGGAAAGGACATCAGACTTCAGCACTCTCCACCTGACTCCGGGTGATGCTGTGCACCTCAAGCAAGCCACAGAACTGATTTGAGTCTGTTTCCACATAGCTGATTGGGATAGGACACATTACAAAATAGGGTCTCAGGAACAGGGTAGCCATGGTCCCCAGTAACTGGCTGATCTAAGGCCAGTCCAGCGCCTCAGATCCGAGCTGGTGATTATCTGTCTTGCTCTGCAGGACTATTTCCCCCGTGACCAATAGCTCCAGAGTCTTATAAGTCCCACTATTCTTACAGGTACAGCAAGAGTACACAGCTTCTCTTGTTTGAATTCCAGAAGGCCTTCCCTGTGCTCTGTGAAGGAAGGAAAACAAAAAGTATTCCTTTCGTTGTTGCTGTTGTTGTTGTTGTTGTTGTTGTTGTTGTTGTTGAGGAGGAGGAGGAGGAGGAGCTGTGGTAGATAGGGTCTGAGCTGGGAACCTGGCTAGCTAGGCAAGTGTTCTCCTGTGGTTCCTGCAGAATCCTGCAGCTGGTTTGATTCTGAAGTCTTAGCACCTAGCTTTGATCTGCCTTTTGTGACCACTACCTTTTGTGTCCTGAACTTGCCCTTAGTAGTATGTAAATCTTATCAGAGAGTTTCCTAAGGGTTCAAAGCCTATGCAAAACCTGGTCACAGAAGGACTCAGCAAACTGAGAGGTCCTGGGACTTTGGGAATTTGTGTTGATGTTGTCTCTAAGGGGAGCTTAAATAGGAGGTTTTGATATACAGAAATTGACTTGCTAAAGGTGTGAATGTATAACAATAAAAAAGCCCTTTGCTGAGTGTTAGAGCCCATGGGCCCCAACATAGATAACTATTTTCCCTAACTGTACTGCTACGGAGGCGCAAGGAATAACTAGACACAGCTTACACGGTCATCACGGAAGAGCATCTCAGGCTTCTTCCTCCTGAAGACCTTCCCACGTTTATTTATCCAAACAGCTTTTATACCAACACATAAACTGAGCAGGAAAATACACCAGCATTCTGTCTCCTTAGGCAACCAGGTGAATGGCGTTTTGTCACGTCTGCATCTACTTGTCTGCTCTGTAAGCTAGTTGTCACATAGGCTTGAATCAGCATCTCTATAAGGCATCCTCCAAATTACAAAGAAAGGAGCAACAACATCCTGACCTTTTGTTAGGCAGAGACAGCCTGTCTGCAGGGCTACATGATCACTTCAGATGGGGCCTATGGCTTTAGCGTCTGGCAGCCACATCATATAGAAATATGGGCCTACAGCTGATCTACAGTGAGCAGTTCGCCAGAGGCTGGCTCCTCTACCCCCACCCTTGCCCCTCATCTGGAAAGGCTAAAGAGAAATCATTCTTAGCATGCCTCTGTGTCTTCTTTCCTCGGATCTGCGGGAACCCACACCTGATACAACATTCTACCATTAAGTCATACCAGCTGTGCTCATGCTAGGGGACTGTTTAGTAGACTAAGTCATAGACAGTTTATAAAAATTGTTCTTATTAAGCTATATATTTTTCTCCGCTCCCCTTCCTTCTTCTCCCCTCCTCTTCTACCCTCTTCCATGGTCCCCATGCTCTTAATTTACTCAGGAGATCTTGCATAGACATTAAAAAAAAAAAAAAAGATGAGGTCTTGCTATATATTCCAGCCTGGCCTGAAGCTTGTGGTCTTCCCATCTCAGTTTCTCAGGTGCTGAGACTACGGGCATGCTGCACTGCTGCTGGCAACGCTGAATTTCTCCCTGTCTGAAAGGTTCCAGAGGGCTGCCTCTTTAAGGCTGCTCTCCTCTCCTTGGCTTGCAAGTCTTCTCTAGGTCCTCATGGGGTCCCCTGTGTGTCTGTGTCCTTGTCTCTTCTTACAAAGACACTTCTTGCCCTGGCCTCAGATCATCCCACCAATTTTAATTATCTCAACGGCCTTCAAAGTCTCTACAGTCCTAGTCTAAGGTGATGGAGTCAGGTCTTTACCACGTGAATGTTGAAGTTCGGCTCCCAAAGACCCCCAAAGGCAGGGGATTACTGTGTGTGCCAGTATGACCTGGTTACTACATCTCAAGTGACTTTTCATGGCAGCCCAGGCTACACTGTGACATCTGACCAGATTCAGAGGAAGCGTTTTATGCAGATGGTCCTTGGGGGTCAGCCGTGTGCTCTGGGGAAGTCTGCTGCTAAGCAGGAAAGGTGGTAGGGCTGGCTAGAAAGTGAGGCAGGCTCACAATGAGTTCCAAGATTCTTTCTGCTACCCTGCTAAAGTTCTAGAAGCTTGCCGATGTGCTATAGTCAATGGGCAGTTCCATTCCTAGAGCGCCAGGTCCACCTCAGACCCAGCAGGATCCTTCTATGACTGCCTGATAGCCTGTGCATGCATGGGGCTTGCAAGTCAGAAAAAAGTAACTTCATATTGAGAGAGTATACACAAACATGCACACATGTGCACATTTATGTTTTTTATTTTTATGTGCTGGTCAATTTACAAGACATGTAGAATGTAGAAGACTACTTGGCATGTTGTTGCATGGGAGTCTTGCACCTTTTAATTTTTAAGATTTTATTGTTTGTATGTGCATACCTGCTAGTACACTTGAGTACATGTGTGTGGATACTTTTAGAGGCCAGAGGGGGGTGTTAGATTCCATATAGCTGGAGTTGCAGACAATTATGAGCCACCCTATGTGGGTGCTGAGAACCAACTCTGGTCTCTGGAGAAGCAGTAAGCATCTTAATTGCTGAGCTATCTGTACAACCCCCAATTTATCTTTTTTTTTGTAGGATCTCTAAATGGAGTGCAATTTGTCAACTAGGCTAAGCTGATGGCCATCAAGTCACAGGGTTCTGTGTCCCCAACATTGGGATTACAAGTATATAACATCATGCCTGACTTTTTACCTGGGATCTGGGAATCAAAATCAGAGCCTCATGCTTAAGTAGCAAGCACTTTACCCACTGAGCCATCTCATCAGCTCCCAAATTATTTATATATATATATTATATATATTATATTATATATTGCATTAGGTATACTACTGATTTGAAAGGGACAGCTGTCACTGAACATTCTAAATTTTTTGGATGCTTCTCCAGGGATCATCAGCCATTAACTCACATACATCTTAAAATGTACATAATTTCCAGTTTTGAGTAAATGAGACCTAATGGGCTTCAGATCTCTTTAGTTGCATACTAACATCTCATGTACACTCTTTGTTAGGAGTACTTTTTGCCATTGATGCAGAAGTATACCACAGGTCTTAACACTAAATACCTTGAAACCAATGGACCACAGATTGGAATGGTCATGTTCCCAACACTAGGCATTGCTTGGTTATGTATTTAACAAAGCCATTAATAGGTGATTCCACTATGTAGCAGAAGTAAAGTTTTTTTATAATAAATTTATTTTTAAAGGGTAAAACACCTGGACAATTTAAATATAAATCCAACAAAACCACTGTTAGTCAACCATAATGCAATCAGGCTTTTTTTTTTTTTAATTAACCTCATAGTCACATATTCAGGCTATCCCCCCACCCAGGCCTCCACTGTGCAGTTCAATTAGGTTCCTTCCTGTTTGATTTCTGAGCAGGCTGGTTATTCTCTATGCCTGTCATCCCTGGTACACCATCAGCTCTTCGTATGACTCAGAAGCCTGTTACACAGTACTGGACACATGAGAAATCAAGGCTAGTGACATCCAGAGAATAAAATCTCAGGGCAAAGACATCCTCTTGAACTTCTAAACTAGAGGATCCTATTGTTTACCACTTAGGATGAGTTAACAGCTATTGACTAAACTTCTCTACCCTAAGTGGAGAGTCAGAGTCTGACACAGGATCCTCTGGATTGATGTGGGATTTCCCTATGCATGCTGTGATTACCATTAATGAATAAGGAAACTGCTTTGGGCCTATAGCAGAGCTCTAGGGGAACAGAACTAGGCAGGGAAAACTAAACTGAATGCTGGGAGAAAGGAGGTGGAGACAGAGAGAAGCCATGTAGCCCCACCGGAGCCAGACGGAACTTTACCTGGTAAATCACAGTCATGCGGCGATGCACAGATTACTAGAAAGGGGTTAAATTAAAATGTAAGAGCTAGCTGATAAGAAGTTAGAGCTAATAGGCCAAGCAGTGATTTAATTAGTACAGTTTCTGTGTAATTATTTTGGGGCTGAGCAGCTGGGAACTAACTAGCGGCTTCCTTACTACACTGGATGTGTCCCTGGAAACTTTTTCCTTAACTGCCCTAGCAGATGGGCAAAGTTAACAGACTAAAATTTAATAAAACACAGCTCCCTGTGCATTCCATCATAGGAGAAAGACTAACATCTAATGCACAGGAATAGCCAGCTTTTTAAAACCAGGTAAGTTATCCAAAGCACAAGATCTGCTGGGCTCCCAATAATGGACCAGTTAACACATCTGGTCAGTGGAGTTAGTACAGGAGAGCACACCAGGCCAACTCTATAGTTGTGGCATTGAGTTTGCTGCCTGTGGGACTCCTTTGACTAGGAAGGGCCAGTCACAACTGCCAACCTTGTGCTACCCAGGTTGAGGCTACTACACCTTGTAAGGCCTAGTTAAATAGGGACAGAGCTGCCGACCAAACAGCTTAACGGGTAAGGGTCGGCGGCTAAGCCTATGTACTGGGCTTCCCAGTCAACTTGTCCTGACCTCCAATGAGATCCAATCTAGGTTACAACCACTTTTTTAGGGTTTGTGGGTGGCTCTGAAAAGAGCCTTTGGGTTGGTGGTGCGAAGATCAGGAACCTGTGGGGTCTAAGCTCGCTCTCCACGGATGCGCCGAGCCAGCTGGATGTCCTTCGGCATGATGGTCACCCGCTTGGCATGGATGGCACACAGGTTGGTGTCCTCGAAGAGCCCCACGAGGTAGGACTCGCAGGCCTCCTGCAGAGCCATCACGGCCGAGCTCTGGAAGCGCAGATCGGTCTTGAAGTCCTGGGCGATCTCACGCACCAAGCGCTGGAACGGCAGCTTGCGGATCAGCAGCTCGGTGGACTTCTGGTAGCGGCGGATCTCGCGGAGCGCCACCGTGCCCGGGTGGTAGCGGTGCGGCTTCTTCACACCGCCAGTGGCCGGTGCACTCTTGCGTGCCACCTTCGTGGCTAGCTGCTTGCGTGGAGCCTTTCCTCCCGTTGACTTCCGCGCTGTCTGCTTGGTTCGAGCCATCCTTCTTAAGTGCCTTTCTTCGCTGCTCCTCGAAGGCACAAAATGGCCTGCGGGCACGGCTTTTATAGACCCCGCTGCATTCCTATTGGCCGCCCACCAGGCGCCATGATTGAATACTGCACTCTGATTGGCCCATGGGGCGTTCCTCTTTACAGCCTGCCCTTTAAATTCTCTCCTGGTGGCGCCATCTCTAGAGTTGTTAGTGGAGGCTGTCAGCGTAGGACAGCAGCGGGGATTGTAGAAAAGTTTAAGTCAATTTCTCAGCGCCTTTTTTAACAACCCTGCCTCAATTGCCAAGTCTCAAAGAACTTAGAACTTCTGTGTGCTTCCTTTATATGGCAATGAGGCATCATTTTCCCGAGTTCTGGATTATTAGAAAAACAGTCGAGGTCTGGAGGTGGTTCAGCAGTTAAGCCATCTGTTCTTCCAGAGGACCACGGTTCACTACTCAGCACCCGCATGATGGTCACGTCCACTTGTAACTCATCTCAAGGGATCCAGCACCACCTTCTGCTGGCACCAGGCATTCAAGTGGTACACAACATACGTGCAAGCAAAATGCCCATAAACACACAAAGATATTTTTATAGTAAATTATTTAAAATTTTGTTTTGCTTTGCTTTTTGAGACAGGTTTTCTTTGTAGCTTTGGAGTCTGTCCTGGAACTAGCTCTTATAGACCAAGCTGGCCTTGAACTCACAGAGATCCGCCTGCCTCTGCCTCCAGAGTGCTGGAATTAAAGGCATGCGCGCCACCACTGCCCAGTCTAAAAAATGTTATTACATCAAAACATTTAAAAATATTTAAAATTAAAAATTTTAATTTAAAGTATTTTAAATTAAAACTACTCTAACATTACAAATATTTTAGCATTAAAATATTTTAAAATTAAAAGTACTTTAAAATAAAAAATTAATAAAAATATTTTAGAATTAAAAGAATTCTTTTAAAAATCTAAAAATGCCCCTGCCATGTCCTTGCTGGCCCATGACAAAATCTTAACACAAGCACCACAGGTTCCCAACTTTGCTGCACCAACAATTAGCTAACTTCTAGCTCTCACTGATCAATCTCAACAGATGTGGTCTTTTGTTTTGGTTTGAACCCCATCCCAACTTTGGATCAGCTTCTCTCTTCCCTTAAAGACCCTTGCGGTGCTTTGGATAGGAACGGCCCTCATAGGCTCACATATTTGAATGCTTCCTCTCTAGTTGCTGTTAAATGTGTTAGGAAGGAGTAGGAGGCGTGGTCTTTAGAGGAGGTGTTTTCGCTGGAGTTGGGCTTTCAGGTTTCCTAAGCCCTCACTAGACTTGCGCGACCTCCTACCTGTCTATCTGGGTGTGAAAAAGCAAGCTCTCTTCAGCAAGTGCTACTTGCTGTCTGCCGGCCACCATGCTTCCCACCATGCTGATCATGGACTCACCCTCTGAATCTGTAAGCAAGTCCCCAATGCAATGCTGCCTTTTGTACTCTTTTGTACTTTTGTCTTGGTCCTAGTGTCTCCTTAGAGCAATAGAAGGGTTACTAAGACAACTTTTTAGAACAGGCCGGTGTAAGATCGCCTGTCCTTTAGACATCCTTCATCCCACTGTCTCAGGAAAGCCCCTTTTACCTGCCCCACACTTTCCCAGAACCAGAAACAGCTTTTAAAATCTCAGTGATACTTCTCCAGCTGTTTCGCACAATCTCTGGCTTTCATTCAAAACGATCACAGAAAAACTGGGCATGTTGACACCTACTTGTAGTCCCAAACTTGGGAGGTATATGTAGCCAAATCGGGAGGTCATCCTTGCCCACATAGCTCACATGTAAAGGTTCGGGTAGCTCTGATTCCCTTGTTTGGGAAATGTGATACTGGGGTTTTTGTTGGTGAGCTACCTTTTTTTTTTTCTATAATGAGAAATGACTAATTCTTAATTTTAAAGTTTACCGTTTATAACTGTCTAGTACCAGCAAAAATAATGTTATGTTTTAGTAATGTTAGAGAAGTTTTATTAATTTTAAAAGATTTATTGATTAGTTTGTATGTGTGGCTGTGTGGGTTTAAGTGCACCATTTTGTGAGCCACTTGAAGAGGGGCAGGAACTAAACTGGGGTCCTTTAGAACAATAAGGGCTATTAGCCAATGAGCCGCTCTTATGATGACATACATATAATTGGAGATGGTTTGCAGATACAAAAGTTTAGTCTGTCATGGTGGGAAGCAGGCAGACACGGTGTTGGCGAAGGAGCTGAAAGTTCTACATCCAGATCCACAGTCTGCAGGAAGAGACTGGGACTGGCTTGAGTGTTTGAAACCTCAAAGCCCACCTCCAGTGACATACTTCCAACAAAGGCCACAGGTCCTAATCCTTTCAAATAACCCTGCTCTCTGTGAGCCCACGGGGACCATTTTTAATTCAAACCACCACACTGTCAAATATGATGAGTCGTGCTTACAAAGTTCTTTGTGTTGAAAGATCACTGTCCTTCAAATATCCTGGCTTCATCATGGCACCAGGAAGCTATGGTTTGTGTCTGTGCTCTGAGCGGATGACGTGCTACACCTGCCTTAGGCAGTGGAACTGATCCTGTTTAAATGTACCTTAATCCTGTCAGATGTCAAATCTTCCTACTCCATGATTTGAATGTAATCCCTTAGATAGGTCTTGTGCTAATGAACTTTCCAACACAATGCAGTGTCTACACCTACACCCCGGAGGGTTTAATGGTGGGATGTGGCTCATGCTTAGCAGAGCAGGGCTGGGTCAAAGGTAACACAACTCATGCCCCAAAGTCTGCACCCAGTTGTCAGCAACAGGAAAGCTATGAGAAAACGGCGTACCTCATATTAGTCTGCTGGGAGTCGATGGGAAAAACTGGATTTGATGGAGTTTAATGGGGTGACTGACTGGACTGCTAAGAAGCTTTTATTTGAATCTTCACAGAACTCAGGGAATACTGATATATTTTTGCAGACTTTTTTGTTGTTGTTGTTGTTGTTTATAGATAGGGTTTCTCTGTGTAGTTTTGGATCCTGAACTGGAACTTGCACTGTAGACCAGGCTGGCCTTAAACTCACAGTCTCCCAAATGCTGGGATTAAAGGTATGTGCCATCACCACTACCCTGCCTTTTTTTTTTTTAAAAAAAAACGTAGGAAGGTGGGGTGGGGTGGGGTGGGGTGGGGGAGGGTTGTTGAGACAGGGTTTCTCTGTGTAGCCCTGGCTGTCCTGGAACTAGCTCTGCAAACCAGGCTGTCCTCAAACTCAGAGATTCACCTGCCTCTGAATCTGAGTTCTGGGATTAAAGGCGTGTGCCACCACCGCCTGGCTTGGGTACAAAGACTATTTTAAAAACTACAAATGACCAGTGGGTCCTGGGCACAGGAGTTTCTGTCCCTGTAGAGTCACTCGGCACTCCCCGCTGGTGTGTGAGAATTCTTCACCTTGGGGGCATTCCACGAATCCAGTGTCCGGCAGCTCCCTACCTGCACAGCCATGATTAAAGTGTGCACAACTATTGGGGCACAAAGGTTATGATCTGAAGTGGATGTAACCGGCTAAGCCTGGCCAGACCTGTCTCCTCGGATTTCTCTTGGTCTCTCTGTGGAGAAGACACTCCAGTGAAACTTGGGGTGTGTGTGTGTGTGTGTGTGTGTGTGTGTGTGTGTGTGTGTGTGTCGGGGGGCTGTGATCATCAAAAAGGTAGGTTGAGAATGTCTGTATGGCTGGCTCCAAGGCAGAAAGGCAGGGGAAGGTTAGAGGATATTCCTAGGTTCTGTGACCTGCCTTGAGAAAGAGAGATTTCCATTTCTGTGGCCTGCCTACAGAAGGAAAAGGATTAGTTTAAAAAGTACAAAGTAAAAAGGAGGGTGAGAGTGGGCACAGGGAGGGACAAGGGGAGGGAGGGTTTCCTTTCTGAGGCCTCAAGGACCCCAGCATAAAAAAAGATTATTTCTATAGTTCTGAATCTGACCAAAAGTTGCTTTCAGGGGCTGGAGAGGTGGCTCAGCCATTAAGAACACTGTTTGCTCTTCCAGAGGTCCTGAGTTCAATTCCCAGCAACCATATAGCAATTCATGCCCACCCCTCTGCCATAGTGAGATCTGGTGCCCTCTTCTGGCCTGCAGGCAGACATACAGGCAGAACACTATATATAATAAATAAATAAACCTTTTTTAAAAAGTTGCTTCAAGAATCAAGGAAAAAGGCCAAGTACCTTAATAGAACACATGTCTGGGGTTTTTGTTCTTAATTAAAAGGGGGGGGGGCTCTAGGAGTTATAAACTGGGTCTATGGGCCAAAGCAAAATACATAATAAATTTTAGTTACACATATATATGATCACAAGCTATGAAATTATATATATAGACTGGGCAATTTATAACATCAGAGACTTCATTTCTCACAGTTCTGAGAGCTGGAAAGACAAAGCCAAGGCCCAGGCAGGTGAATTCAATGTCTAGTGGTGGCCATGGATAGAAGCTTCTAGCTACCTTTATTTGAAGAGTGAGAACCTTTACCTCGAGCCCTTTCTTAAGGACTCTCTCTCTCGACTAACGCCTCCTAAAGGCCCCACTGTTGACCACTCTCACACTGGTGATGATGTTTTAGTGTGTGACTCTGGGGACATGTGCAGACCACAGCACCAACCTTTGCCCTCTAAGCCAAGTAGCTAAAAAAAGAAAACCTAACCTTCTGGTTAAAGGAAACAGGATACTTTATTCTGTCAGTAACAATGAAATATGGGTGGGCGGTGGTGGCGCACGCCTTTAATCCCAGCCCTTGGGAGGCAGAGGCAGAGGGATCTCTGTGTGTTTAAGGCTAGACAGGGCTACATAGTGAGACACTATTTTAAAAATGGAGGGGAGAAGTAGAAAAAAAAATAAAGAATTGAGAAAAAGAAAAAAAATGTTATTTGCTGGTAAAAGGGATAGAACTCAAGATCATTGTGTTAAGTCAAATAAGCCAGATCCAGAAAGGAAAGCATTGCATGGATTCCCTAGCATGTGAAAGTTAGAC